GCATGGGCAAGGACTTCATGTCTAAAACACCAAAAGCAATGGCAACAAAAGCCAAAATTGACAAATGGGATCTAATTAAACTAAAGAGCTTCTGCACAGCAAAAGAAACTACCATCAGAGTGAACAGGCAACCTACAGAATGGGAGAAAATTTTTGCAATCTAATCATCTGACAAAGGGCTAATATCCAGAACCTATAAAGAACTCAAACAAATTTACAAGAAAAAAACAAACAACCCCATCAAAAAGTGAGCAAAGGATATGAACAGACACTTCTCAAAAGAAGACATTTATACAGCCAACAGACACATGAAAAAATGCTCATCATCACTGGCCATCAGAGAAATGCAAATGAAAACCACAATGAGATGCCATCTCACACCAGTTAGAATGGCAATCATTAAAAAATCAGGAAACAACAGGTACTGGAGTGGATGCGGAGAAATAGGAACACTTTTACAGTGTTGGTGGGACTGTAAACTAGTTCAACTATTGTGGAAAACAGTGTGGCGATTCCTCAAGGATCTAGAACTAGAAATACCATTTGACCCAGCCATCCCATTACTGGGTATATACCCAAAGGATTATAAGTCATGCTGCTATAAAGACACATGCATACATATGTTTATTGCGGCACTATTCACAATAGCAAAGACTTGGAATCAACCCAAATGTCCATCAGTGACTGACTGGATTAAGAAAATGTGGCACATATACACCATGGAACACTATGCAGCCATAAAAAAGGATGAGTGCATGTCCTTTGTAGGGACATGGATGCAGCTGGAAACCATAATTCTCAGCAAACTATCACAAGAACAGAAAACCAAATACCAGATGTTCTTACTCATAGGTGGGAATTGAACAATGAGATCACTTGGACACAGGAAGGGGAACATCACACACCAGGTCCTATTGTGGGGAGGGGGAAGTGGGGAGGGATAGCATTAGGAGATATACCTAATGTAAATGATGAGTTAATGAGTGCAGCACACGGACATGGCACATGTATACATATGTAACAAACCTGCACGTTGTGCACATGTACCCTAGAACTTAAAGTACAATTAAAAAAAAAAAAAAAAAGGATGAGTTCATGTCCTTTCAGGGACATGGATGATGCTAGAAACCATCATTCTTAGCAAACACAGGAACAGAAAACCAAACTCCACATGTTCTCACTCATTAGTGGGAGTTGAACAATAAAAACACATGGACACAGGGAGGGAAACATCACACACCGGGGCCTGTTGGGGGGTGGGGATCTAGGGGAGGGATTGCATTAGGAGAAATACCTAATGTAGATGACGGGTTGATGGGTGCAGCAAACCATCATGGTACGTGTATACCTATGTAACCAACCTGCACATTCTGCACATGTATCCCAGAACTTAAAGTATAATAATAAAATTCATGTCAGTTATTCTTGACAATTACCAGGAGCTAGACAAATCTTTTATGGGAATAATTATAGTCTTTTTTCATTTTCAAATTTTTCCTTGGATTCCAGCTCTATGCAATTGAATCAGTCATTCACCTGAGTCCTGACACTTGGTTATTTATCCTTGCAACGGTTTCTCTTGTTTATTTGTTTGTTTGCTTTTTTATTTATTTAAATAGTCAAATCTGTGACCAATATAGTTTTTTATGCTTTTTTACTCAGGGATCCTGGCATGCTGTCATCATTAGCTGCCCTCTGCCAGCTAAGCTATTCTACTGCTTTTGATTTTTTGTGTGTGCGCATGCACACATACACACACAAGAGGGAAAAACTAATGAGTACCCTTACTCATGTATGTGTATTTTTTTACAGTGATTTACTATCAGGTGACACAGAGCAAAGATTTCCATTTGGATTGGTTGTTAGCCCTATATAAGGGCACACAATTCAAATACAATAGGAACTTTTCACTGTCCCCTGAACACAACTTTTGGTACAAGTGGAGACAAAACCGGAAATTACTTGAGGTTCCTCTTTCTTTCGGAATGATCCTGTATGCACATACAGCAATTTGAATGTGAACTTTTTAAAATAATCATTATATTAGAGAGTTTAAAGCTAGAGGAAAACTTTCTTGGTCCCTTATTTTCTTTTTTATTTTTCATAGAGATAGAGTCTCACTGTGTTGCCCAGGCTGGTCTCAAACTCCTGACTTCAAATGATCCTTCCACCTTGGCCTCCTTGAGCCCAGCACTGAGTCCCTTATTTTCTGCTGGAGGGAATACAAAACTATAAATGATTAAGAAACTTTCCAAAAGTTATTGGTAAGCTAGTGACAAATCTTCAGGAAAAAAAAAAAGCCTGTTGTTTTTTGCTTGGATGTATTTAATTTTAAGCAAGAAATAAGAGTTTGAGGAGTTTATCAAACATAAAAGTCAACTGACATTAGTCTACACTTCAGATATACGGTCTAGAAGGTGAGACTGTTCCATTGAAGAGGCGGGCTAAGCAGAACAGTTTTCTTTAAGGAATTAACTCAACCTTTAAATATTTACCTTGTTCAAGTCTGGAGTCCTCAAAAGCTATATTTTACCTCTTCTAAGCTTAGGAATGTGTGTTTTCATTCTCAATCACATAATCATTTGGAAATTTTGACATCTGTTAACATTATACCACAGATTCCAAGACAAGCAAAATTAACTTTAGTAAGTGAAAATAATTTCATTAATTTTCTGGCTCAGTGAGATGTCAGATTATTTCAACAAATGCATAATTATTATGGCTTACAATTTTTATAATTTGCTTACCACAAAAGCAAGCGTGTTAATTGAAGGGAATTTTAGAAAATGTGGATATCCAAAAAAGAAAATAGAAATCAGAAGTAATTCTACCTCCTAAAGATAGTCATTGTTGGTATTCAGGTATATTTTTCCCCAGTCTTTTTTCTATGTGCATGTGCATTTTTTTTTTTTTTACAAAAAAATACTGTGTGTTTGGTTTTCTATGCTCTATGCTATTTTAAAAAATATATTATATTATGACATAATATACTATAATATGATACTATATTTCACCATGACTCTATAACATTTATTTTATTATTATCATTATCATTATTATTATTATTATTATTTTGAAGACAGAGTCTTGTTCTGTTGCCCAGCACGATCTTGGCTCACTGCAACCTCCACCTCCCAGGTTCAAGCAGTTCTCATGCCTCAGCCTCTCAAGTAGTTGATATTACAGATGTGAGCCACCACGCCCAGCCTCCTCCACATTTTTGTAACCTTGCCTTCCACTACTCCCAGAATATCTGGTCAGGATCTTTCATTCCTTCTTCCTTTCTATTCTGCCACAGGCTCTCAATATCAACCCTTCCACCACAGCCTAGGAAAAGTTGGTCTCCATGAGCAAAACCTTCTCCAATAACCCACTCAGTACTGATTCTCCCCTTCTAGATGATGCACAGTACCTTCTGACTCTTCTATACTTGACACTGATTGTGTGTAATTTAACCTTTAGTCCTATCCTATTGAAGAGTAACAGAATATGCCTCCCAAAATAGGCCCCTGTGGCACATTGATTATTTTGAACTGAAGGCAATTGAGAATCAGATACAAGCTCATTTGTCTCAATGCAGGACATACATTCGTAAAGGCATCCCTCCTCGGAAAATCAGGGTTAATGACTCAAGAGGAGTCCAGACCCTTAGTTAGCCCAGAGATACACCAGAGGACTCCACATAACAAACTATCCACTAATCCTTATCTTCCATTAGTTCACCCATATGTTTACCTTCCCACCATCTGCTGCTGTAGAAAGTCCTTTCCCATTGTCTTGTCACTCCTCTAAGCTCTATTGTTCTTTCATTAAGATGCTATATAAGACCAAGTGCTAACTACCCCTTTGAGCTACTCATCTCCATGCTCCTATGTGTATATGCTGCATGTTAATAACTTCTGGGTGTTTTCCTATTGTTAATCTGTCTTTTGTCAGTCTAATTTACAAGACCCTAGCTAATAACCCTAAGATGGGGAGAGGGGAAAAAAAGTTTTCCTCCCCTCCACTATCTTGTATAATTTGTTTTCTAAAGAAATACCACTTTCCTGATAAGAGAAATTATGCCATATCTTTTTTCTTTCTTTTCTTCTTTCTCTATCTCTTTTTTTTTCTATCTCCATAGCATAAAATAGGCAAAAAGTATCCACTGAATAAATTCACAATGGGTTAATCTTTCTGTTATACTCATCTTTAGGTTGAACTTAATAAGGATATGCAAAGAGTGAAAGAGAAAGAGATAAATTTGCATTATTTAATTCCTCTAGACTTCAATGTCACCATTTTTCAAATAAAAAAGATTAGGCCCTAACCTGCCTTCCAACTCTAAAAGTTGGGTTTAACCAACACAAACGACTGGCAGAATACACACCCAATTCCAATTCATGATAGTGATTGCCTCTGGAGAGATGAGGAAAAAGAGCTCTGGAGGGAAAAAGCTAGGACTTTATCTGAAGCAAGAGTGAATGAACAAATGGAAACATTGGTTACTTCTGGGTGGTGAGAATGCAGCCAAATGTTTGTTGTATTTCTATTCTTTTTAATACATCTTAAATCTAAAAACACAAGCTTGCCTGTAAGCTCTGCACATTTCTACTCCAGCCACACTGGCCTGCCTTAGAAAAGAAGGCTGGCTCCAGCTCCAAGCAGGGACACCATAGTCAAAGGCACAAATGAGGAGTCTAGGGGCACCTGAGAGCCGAACCTGGAGTCCAGGGCTGCTCCGTGTAGCTGGAGAAGCAGACGTGTTACCACCATTCTCTTTCAGCCTTTGAGCTGATCTTTAAGGGGAGGAAATCCTAAGGAGGATTGCTGACCAGGTGCCACATGCAAAAAGTCTTTTGCTTTCTGATTTCCAAACATTTTCCTCGTAATTTATTGCCCAGAATTTTGCATATATTACAAAGTCTTCAAATCTGAATGCATGTCTGCTCTGGATGAATGCTAATGATCATCTGCATTAGTGTTTGTGTTAAGACTTAGCATCTTCCCAGAAGTGTGGGTCAAAATTTCTCCAATTTGGCTCTGGGGATTCTACTGCTAGTGGGCTCCACAGCCAGCATCTTCAAATTGTCTGGCTTCTCAGGAGTCCTTCTTGGTTGATTCTCCCCAAGAATCAAACTCACTTCCTTGTCAGGTCTCTCTGCACTCAAATACTTAATCTGAAGGTGATTTATCTGCATTTTAAAGTTCCTGGGGGCCTTTAGGAACACCTTGAGTTTGGGCTGCACCTCTCTGGATTAACTGTGGCTTTCATAAAGGATGGAATGCAAGATTTTGTTCTGTTTAAACCTCTCATACATTAAAATGCAGTAAAATAGCCTGCATTCTGGCTTGACCCAGTAAATATTTTTGACAGCTGTAATCATATACTTTTAGAACAGGAAGAATATTCTAGTAACAATCTTTTATTTTACAGATGATAGAACTGAGACCTCAGGAAAATAGGTGATTCCCCTAATGTCAGGCAGCTATCAGATTTAATTTCTAAGATGTCATTCATCATGAGATGTACTATACATTTTAAAATAGTTTTGAAAAAAGACCACACACATTAAATAGATGCATCCCAATTTCAGAAATAATAAAATAGAAAAAATATAGGCTTTGGAGTCAAGAGAATAGTTCTTAGCTTCAGCACTGAGACCACAAGCCAGGTTTCCTGACTTCTCGGTCTGGAATATTTCTTCTAGATCAGTTAGCAATATGTTTATTATTTTTTGTTTTTTCCTCCTCCATAACACAGGTGCAAGTTATATTCTGAGGGTAACAAGTCTATTATAAGCAATAAATAATACTTATACAGCAACCTTTTGTAGTGAAACTAATAATTAGTTGTTATGCAGGGTTTTATGAAGAATTTGAATGTTTTTCACGATCACAGTGAGAGAATGTTAATTTTATTTTTCCCTAAGAACGTATTTTGGTAGAAAGAAGAGGAGGAAGGAAAGACAGAGTTAGGTGTCTTAAGGGAGTGACAGAAGTGACAACAGTGAAAAGGAAGAGACAACAAAAGGGAAATGGTACTTCTGACATGATTGTTTACTAGCTTTGCAGTATCGCCTAGGGTAGACTCAGGAATGATCGGAGAATAGAAAGGTTGTAACAGATTCACTTAATTTTAGATGTTTGGATACTGTAATTATACTTATTAGATAAAGGTGGGTGTGCATGCACAGAGGCATATGTTTTTGTATATGTGTATGTGTATACTATGTGCGTGTGCATGTGTGTACAGTCAAGTGCTGCATAATGACGTTTTGGTCAACCACACCGCATACACAACAGTGGTCCCATCGGATTATAATACTGTATTTTTACCCTTTTCTATGGTTAGATATGCTCAGATATACAAATACTTACCATTGTGTTACAATTACCTACAGTAGTTAGTACAGTAACATGCTGTGCAGGTTTCTAACCTACAAGCAATAGGTTATACTATCTAGCCCAGGTGTGTAGCACGCTATACTATCTAGATTTGTGTGAGTACACTCTATGATGTTCACACAAAAACAAAATTGCCTCACGAAACATTTCTCAGAAAGTGTCCCTGTCACTAAACAACGCATGACTCTATGTCAAAGATTTAAATGTGAACATAAATGCACATGTTTGTTCAAACTAAATACCTATAAGGAAATAGTTGTTTAAAAATTCAGTTTTGCATTGGTGCTTCTTTAAAAAGAGCCAGAATGAGAAAGCCTAGAGACAAGAGGTGGGATCCGAGAAGGTCAAGTTCACTGCAAGGTCCCGCTATCTGGGTCAAAGTTCCCCTAGAGAGACCTAGCTGATGTTCAGCTTCCCTTCATGTGGCTCTTGGTGTTATAAATCCAGAGTATTTTGGTTGTATTTTTTCTTATTTCCTCCCCTCCCCAGCTACTAGAAAGCTTCATCTGTCCTAATCTGTTAATGTCATTTGTCTCTCAAGGCCATCAAGCTTCCTGGGACTTGATACAGAGGCATCCGTTCTTACTTTTCCTCATTATGTATCATAACTGCCTTGGATGTCCCTCAGGCACCTCCACTTTACATAATGCAAACTAAACTCACTATTTTCCTTAAAAAAACAAAACAAAAACCACCCTGCCTTTTATATTCTCCATCTCAGTATATAGTGTTTCAATCTATCTCATCTCCATGGTAGAAACCCGATAGTCCTACCCAAACCCCTCCCTCTCCCTAACTTCCAATCCTTTCAATCACTATATCCTGTTAATTCTACCCTAGAAATGGCTTTTCAATCTGTGCCTCCTTTTTATTCCCACTGCCCCTGCCTTCTTTCAGGGCTTCATTATCGTTTCCCTGCACTATCACGCCTTGTATCTCAGCCTCCAGTCTCCTCACCTCCTCCTAGGTATGTTTCACACAGCAATCAGGGTTATTCTTTCTGTGAACCAAATATGAGTATATGACTCTTGCTTTTAAAACTCCTCTGCTGTCTCTGTCTGCCTGGCCTATAGATGAAGTTCAAGCTCCTTGTCTTAATACATTAAGACATTTATAATCCGTCCTTAAATTACCTGTCCAGTTTTAACTCTGATCACTCTACCACCCACACCCTAGGCTACAATTAGACTGAACTTGTTCAACTTTCTTGAAATGCCATGGCACTTTAAAGTCTCCCTTTGCCTACAGTTTTTCTAGTTGTTGTTGTTTTGTTTTTGTTTTTGCTAGGAATACCCTTCCCCCTGCTCTTCTCTTGAAAAACTCCTATTCTTAAAACTTGACTCAATGAATGTCACCTCCTCTGTGATGCCTCATGTTATGAACTAAATGTTTGTGTCCCTCCAAAAATCATACATTGAAACCTGAATCCCCAATGTGATGGTATTTGAAGGTGGGGCCTTTGGCAGGTGATTAGGTCATGAGGGTGGAGGCTTTATGTATGGGATCAATGCCCTTATAAGAAGTGATATGAGAGATGAGCTGTCTCTCAGCCATGTGAAGACATAACAAGAAAGTGGCTGTTTACAAGCCAGAAAGCAAGCCCTCATCAAACACCAGATTTTAGACTTCCCAACCTCCAGAAGTGTGAAAAACAAATGTTTGTTGTTTAAGCCACTCAGTCTATGGTATTTTTGTTATGGCAGCCCCAACAGACTAAGACACTTTCCCATTTCTCTTTCCTGAAATTAATTGCATCATCTCTGTGCTTCCTTCATAGCTTTGCTAAAATTTGTAATGCATCTTGTACTTACCTATCTCCCTGAAAGAGTGTGAGCTTCTCTCAGGCAGGAGCCATGTCTTAAGAGTCATACCATCTATCACAGCAGTTAATAATCAATACATGCTATTGGAATTCACTGGTATTAATATAGCAAAAAATGTGATTCAGTGATTATAAGGAGGGCTCGGTTTAAGCATCAATTCATGGATGAAACCTGAGCTTGCTCTTGTTTAGGAAGACTTTAGAAAGGGATGTCAATTGACTAGAGAGGGACAAAGTGGTAAGTCACACAAACAGGAGAGGCCCCGGTAGTGGTCCATGCTCAGGAGGAGATAGACTGTGTCCATTATTGTCTGGAATTTACTTTAAAATGCACAATATAGATCACGGTTGGCAACACTGTGGGCCAAATCTGAGTCACTATCTTTTCTTGTGAATAAATTTCATCAGAACCCAGCCACACTCATTCATTTAAGTACTATCTATGACTGTGTTTCTACTTCAAAGGCAGAGCTGAGTAATTGGAACAGAAATTAAATGACCTGAAAATCCAAAACTATTCAGTATATGGCCCTTTACAGAGTTTGCTGACCCCTGGTATAGACCATGGAGTATAAATGTTTGTGTTAATTTCAATCTGCAATTTAGTAGAATCTGTTGCCCTGACTGGAATTACCCATTTTGCAGTTGGTTACTATTTAATCAAATAGAAATATGTTAGAGGCCTTTCTGCCCTTTTGTGAACAGGATATGAGAATCTAGTAAGTTCTATAGTCTGTGCCCTTAGGAATGGTATCGCAGGCCTGATTCCTGAATGGCCCTGAGTCCAACTACTGATCTGAATGTTCCTTAGGGCCTTAGTCTAAGTAGACTGTTAGCTGAATCCTGATGTTAGAACACTGTTGCACAGGCTCATGATCACTCTTTCATGTACATGAAGGCTTCAGAAAAGGGCAGTGCAAGGACTTCACTGAGCTTACAGAACAGGGCCATGACTGCTGTGTGCCTGCTTGCCAGAGGATATCTATGGGGGTAATAGAAATTGGTCTAGACTTGCCCAAGTTGCAGTTTGGTGGAGAAGAGACTATAGCACTCATCGGTAACTACAAAAGGCTCCCCCATTTTCTCCTTAAAAAAACTAATCTTTGCCCATAATCTGATTGGCTGAAGTCAGTTCCCAGAAGCTTGCTATGAGGACAGTCACGTTTGTCTCAATTGATTCAGGAGGTGGTTCTTCACATGCTATGTGATTGAGGAGCTCTGAAACAGAGCATCTACTTTGCACCATATGCATATATAGCCTCCCTCATAGTCCTCACTCAGAGCACAGGAGGTGGAAGCCAAATGAGCAAACGCATGGCTTGGAGTGTGGGAGAGTGGCCAGTTGGGCATATGCATATTTAGAAAAAACATGAGAGGGTACAAAGTGGGAAGCAGATGCACAGACGAAGAGGGAGAGTTGTGGCCTGGTATGAAAGGCACTGCACAGCATGGCAAGTAGGTGAATTCAGAGTGTCGTGTTAATCTGTTCTAGCATACGTGGTTACTTTGATGGTGATAGGAGTATAATATAAAAATGTTATCTGCAACATTTACTAAATATGTATAAAATATATAAGTTTTTTAAAATACCCTATAAAACCTAATGCTATTTCAGAACTAGAAATCTAAAGTCAAGACACTAACACTTAGAGCCAAGGACCTAAAAATACACATGCCTCAATTGATTCTTGACAATGCAGGGCAGAATGATCTTTGATATCAAACAGAGAGAATACACCATTTTAAGCTCACAGAGTAAGTGAGACAGTTACTTACTGACTCAGAAATTTCTTTTTGAGGCTCTGGAGTAGGTTCACTGAGTTCTTCCGCTGACATCCCAAATCCAGGTGGAAGTGATGATGAACCAAAGATTTGAACGAGATAGGAATCAAAATCCTCACAAATTTTTTGAAACAATTTTTGCTTCAGGGTATCTTTTAAAAAAGAAGTAGAAAAGAGAGATAGTAGAAGCAATGAAACAGTACTTAAAACTCATTTAAAAAGATCTGCACTCTCCTTAAAATATGTAATTTCCCATTACTTGAAATCAACTGCTAAGTTAACTAACTTATAAAAGCATTTTTACATCCTGTGTAAGAGGTCATCTAAAATAACTTGATTTAATATATATGACACAAAGAGGCAAAAGAATCACTTTAATGTATGTTCATCCAAAGTGTCTCTGTTCACCATGAATCACTCCTTGTCAAGAGCTAGCCTCACCCATAGTAAGTTGAATTGGCAACTACCTCTGGTTTTAAGGATAGCAAATGGCCAGCCAGTTGAAAATACTCCTTACAGGCTGTAACAAATTACTAACTCCAGATAGAATGATAAAGCTCTCCAAGGATTAAATATAAGTTGGCTCTGAAATGTCTCTGGCTATTCTAACACATTCATAGCCCAGTGAGATTGAATATACCAGATAAACAAACCCACCAGTCAGCCAGCAGGGTATTGAGGAAGTAGAACCCCGGGTTAGAAAGCTCTGGAGAAGGTGAGAAATAACAAATGGAAAGTTTCTGAGAATGGTATGCTCTCCTTAAGGCCAGTGTGCTGGTACACGGAGTAGGCAAGGCATGAGACACTGATGGGCGGTGCCCAGCCACATCAGACCCCACTCCCAGGTAGGTAAAGGAAGAAGGATGAAGCCAAACTGAAGCCTTTCTCTTACTTCACAAACTTGCCAGGTGCAGGCCTGCCAGAGTGAATCATCAGTTTCCAAAGAATTGGTATACATTTTATTATAAAGTCATACTGACCATGACTTAATCATAGATTAAATTAGATCAATGTCCTAGGATGGCTCATTAGTAAATATCAGTTAATGTGAAAGGATAAACTTAGCATAGAGAAGCCCATCAGATTAGCATTGACTGTACAATACATTTTATTTTTTATTTATTTATTTTTTGAGACAGTCTCGCCTGTCACTCAGGCTGGAGTTCAGTGGCGCAATCTCGGCTCACTGCAACTTCTGCCTCCTGGGTTCAAGCAATTCTCCTGTCTCAGCTGCCTGAGTAGCTGGGACTACAGGCACATGCCACCATGCCCAGCTAATTTTTGGATTTTTAGTAGAGACGAGGTTTCACCACGCTGGCCAGGCTGTTCTCTAACTCCTGACCTCGTGATCCACTGTGCCCGGCACTGTACAATGAATTTTAAAAGGTTGTTCTTTGAGATAAATTCCTGATATCAACCTGTTTACTCATCATTACTCATCATTTCATAAAAACAGAGACTAGAACATGTCTTCTAATTCATCCCAGTTACTTGCATTTCTCATCTCTTTAGATGATCATAACTTTTTTTTCATTCAGCATGTACTTCTTAATTCATTTTGATTTCCTGACTGTTTTCTGCCTTGCTGTTGGCTTGCTCAATCCCTTATTTTAGTTAGGTAACTTTCTGAACATTAACCAATGTTAGCAATATCCCCAAGTCCTATTCTTTCTCTCCATTCCTGTCTGTTGACCATGGACTCTAGTTAACTCCAAAGCCAACTCAGCATTTATTAACCCTGATTAAAGACAAGGGATTGTACCCTCCAAACTGAATGACACTAAGTATTTTTGATCTTCTGGAGTTTATGTGTTACCATTTAATGTTGACATAAGCCTTATTAGCCTCCAGATTTTTCTATTTGGTCAGGACAAACCAGTGATATGGTACTTGGAGAAACAATGTAAATGCCTTTCCCCTGGGCCAGACAGCCTTCCTTACCTTGCAGGGTAAAGAAATCATCAAACTGGTAAACATGCTCTGGGTCAGTAGCAATTAGATTCATTTCTTTGTGGAATATTTCAAAGTTGGGATCATTTTTCTTCACCACCCCTATCACAAATATCTCCACATTGGTGTCACTGGCATTCTTCACCACCTCTGTCAGTTTCTCTTTATCACGAGAATCTGTCTGCCCATCAGTGATGACCAAGGCCACTTTTTTTACACCTGGCCTTGCATCTTCGAACATGTCGTTGGCTGCTTGGAGAGCAGTGGCTGTGTATGTGCCTTCCCCAAGATACTGCATGTTATCCACAGCCAACTTGAAGTCATCCTTGCTGGAGAACTGCTTCAAATTAGCCACCTTCTCCACCTTATGGCTATAGTTGATAATGCCTATGCGGGCCGTGGCAAGGTCCAGAGCAACCCGGTCAGCCATAGTCTTCACAAAATTTTTGATGATCTGGAAGTTCTCTGGCCCCACGCTTTCTGAGCTGTCAATCACAAACACCAGCTCTAGCGGAGTCTCTTTGCATTTGGGCCCACAACCTAAAAGATGAATGTCGAGATAGAAACATTGTGGGAATGACTGACATCAGATTGTTGAGGGGAGGGGAGAAAAAGGCAATGATGAACCTGAGACCTGAATTATTCTCTTCCTTTTCTGTGATTGTAAAAATACCTGACAGCTCTCTCCCTTCTGGTTTCTATACTTGACTCTTTTAAAATATACATAATATATAATATAATATAATATATGTGTGGGGAAAAACACTGTAGTGGATAATAATAAATACTTATGTGCTTGTTTCTTGGATTTTAAAATAAAATATTTTTAAAAGAGTTAGCATGCCCTGTGGATGCCATCCCAATAACATTCCTCTTCCTCTCCCAGAGAGGTAACCACCATCCAACATTTGCTGTTTATCATCCCACCATTGTATTTAATCTGAATCTGAAAACTGATATTTCAGTCTTCAACCATAGCCATATATGAAAATTGAAATTTGCTCACCAGGCTGGCCAGTGGATGAAGTAATGTGATGAAAAATTGTCATTGTGGTGGAAGGATTAGGATCTTAAATGTACACAGGAACAGCTATCCCTAACTACTCTAGTTTATGTCTCCAGTCACCCACAATGACAACTATGGGAGCTTTCACGTTACCAAGGAGGCCAGCAGTACATCCATGCTATGAAAGCTTTTGAGGGGAGTAATCCCCGAGAACACTAGTCAGTTAAAAAAACCTTCTATTTAAGTTGATAACAACCATGTAAAGCAGTTGCCAGAGTCACCAGGAAATTTATCAGGGTTCTGTTTCTTTATTCATATCTTTGTGTTATTCAATAAGCCTACTGCAGAAAACCATCAGGAAATCATGTACTATTTTTATAGGGCTTCTAGAACCCAGAAGCCATGTCTAGACTGCTCTCTCGCTAGAGAGACTCCCAGGCTGATTCTTAGGCCCAGCAGTCTTCTAGGAAATAAGCTGGTTCTGGAATTCTCTGTATAGAGGGACAACAATATGCCTGCCTCTGACTACTTTAAACCCAGAAGATTCTCCCATCATTATTCCATTAGTCTCTTGTCTTTTGGCTAATTTCTTTTCTTTACTTCCTCTTTCTGGTAACTCTAAGTTTACCACTCAACCATGGAAGGATTTAGTAGTTGTGAGGCAAGGTGAACACGTGACTCTGTCCTCCTACCTTTGGGACTGAGTACAACTCAAAACTCGAAAGAATTCATGGCTTCAGGAAAAACACAGACATTCTAATCACCAGCTAGGCTGGACTCAGATACCAGTTTGGCTCTTGTAGTCATATTTCCTTTGTTGAGCTTTTCTTCTCAGCTCAGGTAAATGTCACAGAATACAAACGAGTACTGTGCTAACAAAAGGCCCGGCTGCCTACATACTCTAGGCTGGCACCCTCACATGCCTTAACCAGTCTGGGAAGATGATTTTATTTTCTTACATCAGGATTTCCACAGTCTCTCTTACTGCTTCCTTTCAGTATCCATTGACTTCAAATGAGCTTTACATTTTCCCACTAGCTATATAATATACATCTGGACAAACACATTCTCTCACCAACCCAGTACATAGTGGGGCTGATACTTTAAAGTGATGTTTTTTTCTTGAGAGTCAAATCTTACCACATATTTCTGTAATAAGTTTGATAATTTCTTCTTTCTAGGGGATAAAAAGAAAAATGTATCACTATATGAATGACTATAATATTTTTCCTATAGCTATAAAAGATATCTTATTACAATCAGCATTGACCATTTGATTTAATTCTTTCAATGCAGAAAATAAAATAAATAACACAGAAGTCAAAAGTTGACTATAATATACCATAACTAAAACGCATTTGAGCTGTGAAACTTAATAGCTGAGACTTTTGGAATTCAAATTGCAACTGCAGCATTTATCAGCTATGTGACCTCAGGCATTTGGTGCCCTAACAGTATCTGTGTCTCAAGGCTATGGTATGGATTAATCAATGTTAATGCACACATCAACACAGGGTCTGGCAACTTTAACATACCTACAGTGTGGCGCTATATATACATTCAGTTACACAATTTAAACCACATGTGCTGAGCAACCAAGACAAGCCCCAATGCCTGCAGAGAATTCATTCTGTGCTGTGTTTTCTCTTCTTTTTTTGTGCTAGTTCCTGATTTTTTAAGTCCTCTCTTCAGCTTCTTAACACTCTTGCTTTGGCTCTTCTGTGACATTTCCCCATGTTCCTGAATGCCCTTTCCTTGTCCTGCTGCCCATGAGCTCCATCAGAAGGGCCTGAAATGAGCTGTGTACTAGAAATAAAGCTGCCAACGCTCTTCCCTGTGCAGCATGTTTATAAGTAAGTACGATGAGAGTAGAGAAGGCAGGATTCCACATTTGTCCAACACTTGAAGCTAAAAGAGATGATTAACAGAAGCCTAGATCTCAACAGGAGGACCAGTGGACCCAATCTAAGAAAATAAATTTTAACAGGTGCAAAAGTAAAACTTTTAAGAACAAATCTATAATGACAGAATCAAGGTGGAGGTGATGTAGCCTGTAACATGGCTTAAAAGTAGAATATATGGGGAATATTTGTAATATTTTAATTTAACTTTTAAAACTGTACGTAAAAGCTAATGATTCCAAGTGGCTATTTAAAAAGAACATCTACCACAATGTTGAGTTATATAATGCAATTCCACAAAATGAGAGTCAACAGTCATCTTTTTTTCTAGGCTTTGTCATGCTTTCCCACACTTAAAAAGACATTTTAAAAAATCTGAAACATGAACATGTATAGAAAGGTAAAATGTACGTATTTATATTTTTATATTAAAAATATCTAGAAAGGGGAAATGTATGTATTTATATATTTATGTTTAATTTTTTATAAATGGAGAAAATACTATACATCAAGTTTTATGGTTATAATTTGTCACAATACTATATTATAATTCATTTTCCACATTATTAAGGATTCTGAAAAACTTGATTACTGAAATTGAATGTACGGCCACTTAAAGGTTCTGTGATACACACTCTCATACTGTACTTTAGAAAACTTGTAGTAACTGACACCTCCAACAGCAGTAGATAAGAAAATCTGTTTTATTTTAGCCACACAATACCGGCTGTTATTATATCATCTTTGTCAATTGGTAGATCAAAATCATTGTTTTAAATTACATTAATTAAAATATTCGTGAGGCTACATTTCATTTCATATGCATGTTTCCAAGTTGTTTTCTCTTGTGCATATCTGTGTATGTTCTTTGTCCTACCTTTTTCTATGGGAATATTTGCTTTTTATTCACTTATAAGAGCAATGCATGTATCAAGGTTGGATTTTAATTTTGCAACATATTTTGTGGCATAATCAGGTTTAAAATACTTGAAGTCACCATATATATAAATGTTTTCTTCATGTTCTTTGCATTTAAGTGACTGGAAGAGTTCATTCCTTCCCCTAAAATCACTGAATAACTACCTTGGCTACTTGGTGCCAATGATGAAGGCATCATATTTATACCCCTCAAAGGATTCACAATCTAGGAAGAAGTAGACAGACGAAGGCTTTCATAAGTGCTATGGACAGCCGAGGAACCATCTCGATCTGCTGGGAATTCCTGGGGCAGGAGAATGGGAATGGGACTGTGGTCCAGGGAGGCAGACTCTGACCAGGTTGGGACAGGGAAGGGGAGCATTCAGGCAAGGGGGTCGGCCTTCTCTCAGAGCATACTGCATTACAGTACTCGAGTAAACTTATGAATCAGGGCACACAGCAGAAACAATGACAAGAAATGTTGGAGACAGATGGACTCTTGAGGACCTTTGTGTCATGTTGAAGAGTATGAACTTTATCCTGGGCAGTGGGACTCACATGATCCCTAGGCAGAGAAGAGCTCTGGTGGAACTTTTATTTAAGAGATATGATCATAGCAGCCAGTGGAGGGGTTTGAGGTTCCTAAATGATTCAGGCAAAAAAAAAAAATATGACATCGGAAGGCTGTGGTAGTAGTAATGGATGAGGAGGATAGGCCTGGAGGGACATTCCAGGGGAAGAATGAGGGGCTTGGTGAGTAACTGCAAGAAAGGATGAGGGAAAGAAGGAGTCTAAGAGGAGGCAAATGATGGTGGGGCCATACTCTGAGAGAGGCAGGAGTGGGATGGGGGCAGGTTGGGAGCTCATGAAGATGACGGAGCCCAGCTTGAGTCTGGCTAAGTCTCATGCGTCTATAAAACATCCAACTAGATATGCCCACGGGCAGCCTAGGATGTAAGATCTGGTGCTCAGGAGAATTGTCCAAGCAGGGGGTAGATTTAAGAAATGCCAGTATACACTTGGCTGTTCAAACAGGGACTAAAACTAAGATTGCCTGGAGCAGGGCTTCTCGGCCTTTTTAAAACCAGTGTGTTTCCCCTTCCCCACATTCGATAAATATATTCTTTCTGTTTAAAATAAAAACACTATTTTTTCATTCACGATATGCCATCACTGTGCTATTGAATTAGCCTTTTCAAACTGTATGTCCCCTGCCTTCAGTGGCTGCATTCCCTGAGAGTTTGAAGACAGGGAAGACTGAGGCCAGACACTGGGAAATGCTAACACCAAAGTGACAGGTGGAGAAACAGAGTCTTTTTAAATAATTTTATGGGATGTATTAAAACATTTAATGCCATCAATGGCATTTGCCTCTTAAAAGAGGAGTTTGTTAGTCTAAAATGGATCTGCACAATTGATAGCTATTGGGGGATACATTTGATCACAGAAAGGATGAGAGGGAGAGAGAGAGGAAAGAGGCCTTTGGAGAACAGCTTTCATAGGGGAGTAGCCTGAATTTGGTATCAGACAGGCTACCTCTAGCTATAAGGGCTCTGCTACGTGCCAGCTAGATGACTTTGGGTGTAATGTTCAACCAACTTGTGTGTCTCCATTTGATGTAGAGATACTATCTACCCCATGGAGCTGTCATGCAGATTAAAGGTGGGATCTTAGGTAAGAGAAGGTTATTGCCACCAGCCTGTTACCGTCTTCTTGTACCACAACCCACTAGTCCTACACTGCATGGGGGTTTGGCCAGCATTCATGCTGTGAACCAGTGCTCATTTCCAAGCTCTGTCCAAATCCCCTGAAACCACCTGCTGTTTGGCCACCTCTTGGCTGGACCTGTGCATCCTGGCTGGACCTGCATCCAGGCCAGTGCTTCAGCTCTCCAAACCTGTGGCCATTTGAACCATGAATTCTGGAATTCCATGCCTCCAGTGTGTATTCCAGTGTGTGGCATGCCTAGTGTGTGATGAAACCACCTGCTGTTTGGCCACCTCTTGGCTGGACCTGTGCATCCAAGCCAGTGCTTCAGCTCTCCAAACCTGTGGCCATTTGAACCAAGAATTCTGGAATTCCATGCCTCCGGTGTGTGGCACAGAGGGACATACGTGCATGCGCTTTGGCCCCAAGGACTTCTCACCTGGAGGAAGGAGTGCAGCTGGAAAAGGACCAGGGTTCCAGAGCAGGGGCCTCTAAAACACCCTGCAGTACTAGGTAAGGAGCCTAACATGTACTGATGTAGAGGAGCCTAACACAGAGCCTGTCACACACTAAATTCTCACTTAATGCAAATTCTCTTTTCCTTCACTCTTCTTGTCTTGCTAGTCTCTTCTTCCAGAATCTAGAAAGCCAAAGTCAGCAGAATGATGTCCCTACTTCTAAGGTCTCTGTCTCTTGGTTGAAAAGCTGCCACTCAAGAGATAAAGCCCATCCTGCCCTCAAACACCATCATACACCATTTTGTCTGCTCTGGACCCCCAGATCACTTCTTTTATCATAGCATTTATCACTCTGTAGATGAACATCCTTTGTTGTCTTTCTCTCCACCAGGCTGTGAGCTCCTTCAGTTCGGAGAGGTAGCCTCACTCTCCACTATTTCCCCAGTGCCTGTTTTGGAGCCTGACTCAGAATAAGGTTTACGGGATATGTCCAATAAAGGTTGGTGAAATGAATGAATAAACGAATGGAGAAAGGAAACCAGTCCCTTTCCCCATGTTGGGACAGTAGGGCAGGTATAAACCTATAGGAAACGTTCCTCTGCTCATTTACATACACTCTTCCCTGCTATTTTTGGGGAGAAATTGTACATATGTAGCTACTTCATCTACTATGGGCATCTTTGGGGGTCTGACTTATGGTGGGGAACAGCAAAGAGAAAAAGGCAGACAGCCCACAGAACACATGTGCAGTTCTGTTGGTCACATGCCCAGCTCTCAGCTCTTGCCTTCACCACCTGAACTGTCACTCCCTCACAGTTGGATGTTCCTAGTACAGTACATTGAATCAGCCCCCCTAGACCACAACCCCTGGAAAAGTCCAACAGGAAAAAAGGAAAAGGTATCTGTTTTTCCTCAACCCCAGAAGATGGATTGCCTTCAAATCAGAAAGGAAGAATGAGACTTTGCCTTCCACTCATGAGACTTTAAAGAGTCCGTTTTCTGTTCTTAATGGTGTGGGGAGAAGAACACGAAAATGTTTGTAGATGCTCAAAAAATACTTATTGAATAATTGAATCAATACATAAATGTAATCCCAATTTTGTGATTGCTGCTCTCCTCAGAGCACTTCTAAAGGAACTAGTTCAGGAAAAAAGAGTCCTCATTCTAAAATGAGATGAACCACATAAATTAAAGTCATTTGGTAATCTGGCTTTTTTGAAACAGCCACCTCCTTCTTGGCCAGTAATAGCAGTGTGATCATTTCTACCAAGGATCCGAGTGGAGTAGTCACACACACCCACCATAAGGCAGGACAAAGTTTTATTTCTCCCCTCACAGTCAGATTCAATTACCTCATGCATCTAAGTCAACACTGGGCTGGTAGTAGTTGCTCTCATTTAAATAGAAACTGGAATTCTGCATCCAAAAATTCATAATTATAAAGCTAAAGCATGAATGCAAAAATTTTGCATTTTCAATTACCCTCTAGAATGGATACTCACTGTAAGTCCTAGGTCTCCTTTGGGTCCTTGTAAACCCTACTTAGTGGAAGAAGAGTAAAAGTCAATGTAGGTTGGAACCAGTTAGAGTATAAAATCACAGTGAGACATTAAAAACTACTTCTTGCCTGTTTTCCTGGAGATCCAGGCTCTCCAATTTCTCCTTTATCACCTTTCTTTCCCACATCGCCCCGTTCTCCATGCTCTCCCTTTACACAATAGGGTAAAATGATAGGTTCAGAATGTGAATATAAAAGCCAGATAAGAAAAGCTCTATACTTTGGTTTATCTGCAACTGGCATCTCTTGAAGACCTTCAGTTCTTGTTTATACAAATGCAGTATTTGAAAAAAAAATTGAGGATAACTTATTTACATCCCATCAGATACCATAATCTAATTCATGATGAACCAGAGGTCTCAGAGTGAAGAGACCTTGAGATATACTAATACCATCTAATCAGTTCACCTTTCAGGACATACAACTATTACACAATTTACCAAGTTCCTGAGTTATCTGGTATCTCCTACATGGTATGTTGTAAGATAACTAATAAATCTTTTATTAGTTATCTTCTGAGAAAAAGAAAATGAGATTTTTTTTAAAACATAGAGATGGGATCTCACTATATTGCTTAAGCTTGTCTTGAACTCCTGGCCTCAAGCAATCCCCCTGCCTCAACCTCTCAAAGAAAAGGACATTTTATAAAGTAAAACTATTTATAGGTAGAAAAAGCAATGCGCAAGGATTTAATTTCAAGTGGATTTTTTTTCTTCTGAGAGTTGTAAGGGGACGCGTGACACATATATGAGAGTTCTTCCAAAGTTAAAGTTAAGCTATTGAGATCCTAAGCCTAAGCATTTCTCTAAGATCCTGAGACACTTACCTTCTGGCCTGGGAGGCCACGGCCCATTGTGCCCTTTGGGCCTGGAAAGCCTTGTGGTCCTTGTTCCCCCTACATAGAATATGAGAAAGAGATGTTCTATTAATTTCCCAAGATAGCTTGGATATTCTTTAGGTCAGAAAAACACTTACAGTTTAAAACTGCATTATAGTATTATCTAAATATTGGGGGGGAAATATATATATAAACATTTGTATATAAATACATTCACGTATGTGTGTATGTGTATGGCTCAATGATTTACTAGTAAGTGTTTAACAACTAAGACTAGGATAGAAGTGAAGGCTCTGATTTATGCCATTTGCCTATTTCTGTGGTGTAAATACTTTCACTGTGGCTAATTTCAAGCTATGAACACATCAGCCAGTTCACACATAACAGATAGCTGCTATTTCATGGTAGTAAAGGTGGGTTGGGTATGGTAGTAAAGGTGGGTTGCATCTGTTTACATTTTTCCATGTTTTATGGTATGTTAAAAAACACAAGTTATTGGTTGGGCGCAGTGGCTCATGCCTGTAATCCTAGCACTTTGGGAGGCTGAGGTGGGTGGATCACCTGAGGTCAGGAGTTTGAGACCAGCCTAGCCAACATGGCAAAATCCTGTCTCTACTGAAAACACAAAAATTAGCTGGGCATGGTGGGTGTGCACTTGCAGTCTCAGCTACACAGGAGGCTGAGGCAGGAGAATTGCTTGAAACCAGGAGGCAAAGGTTGTAGTGAGCTGAGACTGCACCACTGCACTCTAGCCTGGGCAACAAGAGTGAAACTCCATGTCAAAAAAAAAAAAAAAAAATTCATTTTGGTAACGGAGGAAAAGAGTATATAACAGCATCCATCCACAATTAATGCCAAGTTTCTGTTTATGTAATTCCCCTTACACTGTTAGTTTCATCTCTGATAATTTGTAGCAACATTCAGGACTTGTTTCCAGCTTTCTCCATCACATTTTAACATTATTTCTTGCCCCACCAAAACCACACAGGTTCCAAGGGGTTTCATGGTGTTGAGCATGACACAGAAACAATCACTAGCAAGTATAGAAAGTCATAGTTCTGATGCTCCTTGGATCTTATACTCAATCCTTATTTGACACTGGATAAGTATTAGTGATGAGTCTCTGGCAAAGGCTTGAAGGACCATGGGCTCCTGGGGATTGATCTGTGTTTTTCAAAAGTATCCTGATGGTCCCCACCAAGATCATTGGCATGCTTGATAAAAATTGCATCTCCCAGGCCCAACCTCAAACCAACTAAATGAGAATCACAGGTGAAGGTAAAGGCAAAGTATGCATTTTGCCATAAGCCTGCTAAAGCTTGAGAGCCACTACTCCAGGAGTCATGATGGGACTTATGAGGCACTCCTGGAAGGGGCCACACAGGTTTGCTTGGAGACCATTGTAACTTTGGGCATCTCAACATCCCTGAGCCTCCTTTACCTCGTTCATTGGCTGTCAAGCTTTTTTAAATCAAAAGGGTTCATTCTTTTTAAAATTGTTATAATGCAATATTTCAGAACAAAAATTATATAGAATAAAGTAAACACTTATCTACCACCATGTTAAAAAATAAAATAGATACAATTCAAACCTCTTAGATACTCATCCCCAACCCTATTTCTCTGAGACAGAAAATCTCTACCTGAAATTCATATTTATCATCTGTATCCATGTTTTTATGCTTTAACTACATTTCAAAATAATACATCATTTTTTGTGTGATTTTTGTTTTGTTTTCATTTTTGTTTTGAGACAGAGTCTCACTCTGTCACCCAGGCTGGAGTGCAGTGGTGTGATCTCAGCTCACTGAAACCCCCACCTCTCAAGTTTAAGTGTTTCTCCTGCCTCAGCCTCCCAAGTAGCTGGGATTACAGGTGCGCATCACTATGCCCGGCTAATTTTTGTATTTTTAGTAGAGTGGGGGTTTCACCATGTTGGCCAGACTGGTCTCAAACTCCTGACCTCAGGTGATCTGCCTGCCTTGGCCTCCTAAACTGCTGGGATTACAGGCGTGAGCCACCGCACCTGGCTGATGTTTTTAATATTTTAAATTTCCAATAAATGATATATTTATGCATCCATTTTTTTAAAAAAACCTCAACATTATCTATTTGAAATTTATTTGTGTGTGTATATATATACATGAAGTTCTAATTTGTTGATTTTCTCTCTGCTATACAGTATTTTATTTCATTAAATAACTGAATACAACTTATCCATTAGCCTTTTGACGGACATTTAGGTTATTTCCAATATTTCTGTTTTAAAAAATTTTAAGAATATTCTTTTATATACCTTTGCATACTTGTATATATTCCTAGGAGGAAACTCTTACATCAAAACAAATATTGTATAAAGTGGTACAAAATAAAGTAAATACAAGTACAGATTCTCTAAAGCTGAACTAAAGGGCTCAATTTTTCACACACCCATCCCTAACCTCTCACAGCACATCGGCTTGACTGAACTCTAAGGTTCTTTTTTATTCTCTTACATGTGTTTCTAAACTGGTTGTAGGTATGGGGTTATGGTATTGCCTCCCCAATTCAACACCAGAGGACTTGAAACAAGTTCTTTACAGCGGTGAGACTACAGAGAACTTAATTCACTGAATGTCTTTTTACTTTGTTATCTCTTGAGCCAAGCCCAATGCAGTGACATACTGGGCCCCCTGGGAATGGGTATGCAGTGTTGCACTACAATGTCTTCAGCCCCCCAGGGAGGCTCACCCAGAAGAAGGAGTGCTTCCTCTGTTAGTTGCTTAGAGGGAACAAGTAGGGGGATGATTGGTCTTCTTTATTCAGTTTAAAGTCAGGAGAGAATACAGTAGTCCCCCTATATCTGTACTTTCACTTCCTGTGGTTTCACTTACCCACAGTCAACTGTGGTTGGAAAATAAGTTAGTATAGTACAATAAGATATTTTGAGAGAGACCACATTCACATAACTTTGATGACAGTATACTGCTTATAGTTGTTCTATTTTATTATGTGCTTGTTAATCTCCTACTGTGCCTAATTTTAAATTAAACCTTATTACAGGTATGCGTATATAGAAAAACATAGTATATTTAGGGTTTGGTACTATCCAAGGTTTCAAGCACCCACTGGGAATATTGGAACATATCTCCTGCGGATAAGGAGGAACTACTGTAATCTTTTTCCACCAGGAAACTTGATGTCTTGGGAGCCCCAGAACCCTGGATTGGAATTTGTGCCAGTTAAATAAGCCCTAAACATTCGACTGACACTGGAACTCCAAGATGAAAATTCAAGCAAAAAAAGGAGAGGAGAAAAATTTGTCCTGTTTCCAAAGATGGCACTCCCAACACAGGTGTCATGAAGATGAACAGGCGGGAATGTGTAGCTAACACAGACCAACCTCATTATGCTCACTGCAAAACATGCTCTAATAGGAGTGGATCTGCAGTCTGCTTCTGAACATGAAGGTTAGTGCGGTCTGCCTACATACAGACTAGCAGCCAGCCCCCATAGTGATACGCAGGACTGCAGGCAGCCACCTGCCTGAGGTTATACTATCTTCTTCTGTTCAAATCAAAAGGAAAACAAACACAAATATTATAGGAAAGATATCCTCTCAAGAAAGATGTCTTGGTAAAGTACACTTTGGTATAAATTTGTTTTCTCAGATTTTTTGTGGAGGTGAATGAGGACATTTTCATTCAGTGAGGTACCTGGTTGAAGGTTTGGGTTGCAGGGGAGATGCGCCAGACCACTGTGGCTGAGTTAGGGCTCCAGTTGGCCAGGGATAAGAGAGACTAAAGGTTCACGGGAGAACACTAAGAGGAAATCCATGGTTGGCTTTGTCTCAACCTCAAAGGACAGAACAGTGTGATAAACAGAGGAGCTGGGACTGTGGTGTGATAGCGAATATCACTGGGAGTTGTATGTTAGACAAAGTGGATCCAGAAAGAATGCCATACCTTTCTGACAATTACTCAGAATAATTATTTCTTTTGCAATATTTCAGGTTCCTCCAGTAGCTAATACAGAAGATGTCCAATAAATGTTCATGAGTAACTAGATGCCTTTAAGAAATGACACAATTTCCTAATATAGCTAAAACCTATTGCTGTAATGGGAAGCATGGCACATGCCCTGAGGGAAAAAACGTTAGAGTAGCAAATTACCGTGTTAGGATAATATTCAGGAATTTCTTTTGCATTACCTCACAATATAAATATTTTCTGTATAACTGTTAACACTATAGATATTCCAGGCAGCTAGATTTCCCTATAATAAAGGCAATTCATTTTCTTTTTAATCGCTAGTTTCCCTTCAAAATACTTAAAGGCTTCCTATAACTTTCAGAGTAGACTATCTAGCTAAAAGCCTTTAGCAAGTAAATCCATGTCTGAGCTTGGCAGAGGTCAATGCTATCCAATTAGACTTTTAAAGGTGTAAGTCTCAGGAAAATAATAAATAATGATTTGAGTGTGGGTCAGAAGCAACTGCAGGAAACAACCTATTGGAAGCTATAATTAAATCTAAATTTCAAACCATGGTTAATCACTATATCACCACATTAGATGTGTGTCCTGATAAAGATGTGATCATTTTCATTTTTCAGATGACTGCTTGTTCTCTGGGAAAGAAATTTCTAAGAATAATGCATATCTACCTGAATGCTTCCACTGATTTATTTTTGCATTACTGATATGTCAGGAAACAATGATTTGTCTTTTGAAATGTTTTCTCAGTAAGGTGTGGTAAGAAAAAATCAAATTCATAGATGATCATAAAATGTAAAATGGATATCTGGCTTCTGCCAGTATGTAGAAAAGTAGAAAAAATGCTACTCTTATTCTTAAAACCCCAACAACAAAAAATGAGAACTAATCTGTGAAGTCACAGCTTTTCTTGAATCCATCATAGAGCTGTGGTTGCAGGGCAACCAGCCAATTCAGCATCTAAGGAAAGTCAAGATCCTTCAAGGAGACACAGGCTTGGATATTCACTTACCTGGTAGAAGTGCCACATGTTATACAAGCTGGTAAGAATTCAGCTAAAATTTTTAACAGGTCGCTAAAGGCTGA